TCATATGTAAAATTCTTGTTCAGAGATAAAAGCAGAACTGAAGAATCATGTGAACGATGATGATCCTAGGACTGGGTAAGCACATAAAATACTAATCATGACCATCAAGAAGAAGAGCTAAAGGATCCAGACATAGCCTGGGTGCTGCTAGCCATGTAGTAAGGCAAAGCAAGGATCTCAGTTTATTAAATACAGTGCAAATGGCAGTAGCATCTGACATTAGTATTAGCAGCCATGAGTATAAAATGAAGTTTTCTGCCACTGCTATGAAATAAGGAAACATGCTAGCCAACCTGTAATACAGCTAGTGGTTCCAGGAAATATTTCAGACTTTGTATGTTTTTTCTGGCTTTATTCATGTTGGGTTGTGGTGTTGTGCACTGTTTATAGTAAAAGATGTCCATAAAAGAGAATACTCTGGTGGAAAGATGTAAATTTTACATTGCAAAGAATAACCATGTACAGCACTGGTTCTTTTCCCAAAATAGAAATTTGTGATTGGTATGTGCTGGTCATAATTGATTACTTTAGAAGGAAGACTGGAGCTTGTCTATTGGTTGATACTTAAGAACAGATTGTCAATGATACATTAACAGAACAATGGATAGCATGATTTGGAGCAAACTTCTCCTGTAAAATGTTTGCAGAGCACTAGATGTGGTAATTACACACATTACATTTTACCCATAATCTAATGGTTTAACATAATTGGTAGTTCAGACTCCTAAACGCATGCTTTTAAACTCTTACTGGAATGACCTGCTGGAAATCATGATGGTATATCTTGCAACTGAACATCAGTTGGTCAGATTGTTGAATTTTCACTGTACTGCCTAATATTTAGGTGTGAAGTACAGCTCCATGTCTACTTAATGTCCCATATACCAACATTCACAGGAATAAATTAAGTAACTTAAATCTATATTAATTTATACAGATTAGTCTGTATATCAATAGATAGGTAGAGCAAAGAAATGATAAAAAAGGAAATTTGAAGAACATTTGGAATTAAATCTGGTTAAAAAAGTTACTTCAACAGAAATGGTAACTCAGATTACATAATGTAGTAATTTAGTTGAAAAAGAACAAACTGAACCTCAGTGACATATTCTATATTAAGACAATATTTTCCTGTGGTACTAAAACAAATTCCATACAGTGATATCATAACAAGTGTGGAAGCTACAATTCTTTGTATTCAGGACAAAGCGAGTCTAACAACATATTTAACATGATAAAACATACAAAGTAACCTCAGTTGAATTTGAATCACAGTCACAGAAAAGCCTTAAAAGAAGAATGTTGACCTAGCTAATAGCCCAACTAATAAAGGCAATAGAACTATATTCATGGACTGAAAATAGCAGGATGAAAATTGAACTTTAAAGATGAAATTCTTGAACCACCGAAAAAAGTAGTGAAAAGGAAAAGATGAATAAAGCACTTTGTGCTACAAAAAACTCTAAAATAAAAGATATCACAAAATCAGAATACTGCAAGTTTTCAGTTTACCTTAGCATAACGTAACATAACTTCTGATATATGTGGCCAACTAAATATATGCAAGACTTACATTACATTATGTCCTATTATGTATTTCTTTAGTTCATAATTAAGAACTTTGCTTAATATCTCAGTCACCTTGAACCACTTTCCCAAGTGTAAGTTAACAGAGATAAGCTTAGTTATTTATGGTGTTAAAAAAGCCGGAAAATGAAGAAAACTTATCCAATCTGGCTAGTCTTCATAGGTCATCTTTGTCAAGGTTTTAGGAAGATGCAAGGCAGTACTCCTGTGGTTTCTCTTCTATCATCTGTCATATGTCAGCATTCTTTTTCCAAAAAACAAATCTTAGGTTGAGGTTTGCAGACAAAACATTGTGTCCTGGAGCAATGTTCTTGAATATCTCAAATAATATCATAGTCAACTAAGTGTAATAGACTTAAATAGTCAACTATTCGAAAGCTCTCG